ATATATATGTGTGTGTGTGTGTGTGTGTGTATGTGTGTGTGTGGGTGTGTGTTTGTGTGTGTGTATTCCAACCTATCCATTGTTTTCCTATTTTGCAGATACAACCCCTCCCTCTTTCAATAATACTTGTCCAAAGAACATGATGGTCTATACTCCTGAATGCTCATCCATTGCTCTAGTGGGGTGGACTGAACCAATTGCTGATGATAATTCTGGTCACATAATTGCTACCTTTCCTTCCATTCGACCATCAGCTCAATTGAGCATTGGTCTTTATCATATAATGTATTCAGCTTCAGACGCCGAAGGAAACAGAGCTAACTGCACCTTTGTGGTGCAAGTTACAAGTATGTCATAGCAATGTAAAGAAAATTGAGTTTTCCATTAGAAAAATTGTGTTTTATAAATGAACCTGTAGTGTTAGCTGTTACTCGTTACGAGGATCTAAATAGAGTAATGGGTTAAGCATGTTTCTAAAATAAGACTTGCACTACGCAAATTTTCATCTCTTCATAGATTTCGACAAATGTTTGTACATTTGCTTATATTTGTAGCAGATAGTTTTCATTGTTATAGCTTTTTTGTTATACTTATCTTCTGAACTATTCTAAGAAAAATTATTTCCAAGTAGATTCATAGTCTCTTTTTTGATATTAAAAAAGGTTAATACTAGGGTACATCACCCATTATAAAACTTCGATTTTCGTCAATTTAAGTTAGAAAACGCTTTATCTTCACAGGGAAATATTGCATCAAACTGCAGCCACCATCACATGGAAATGTAAGCCTTTCCTGTGGCTTCTCGTTTGGTTCCCAGGCTAATTTTACTTGTGACAGGGGATATCAATTATTCGGATCTGGTGAGCGCTTTTGCAAAAAAGACGGCTCCTGGTCAGGACACATCACTACATGTAACGGTAAGAATACCTGTCTGTTATTTTTTAAGTCATCCTCTCGATTTCTAATTCTTTAGTTTTCCTCCCAGTGCAGGTATCCGACACCTTCATAGGAATTGAAATTGGCTCCGCAATTTAAACAGTCAGGCATTTGGGAATTATACGAAAAACCATTACTAACCAACATTACCCTTTCGTTTGGCTGGGAGTCAACTTGAAAACACACATCATGAAAAAGGAGATTTACGCAAAATTAAAGTTGCGTAAATCTAGGTAAAGTTCGTTAAGTAACTTTACGCTGGTTTTAGAATGTTCGCAAAGACGCCTAAAGGTAGATTTACGTAATCGGACGTAAAGTTCTCAAATTGAGATTCTGTCATTCTAATAATGTTAGGTAGCATCTGAGGAATACAAGCTATAAGTGTGTCTCGATAGCACAGTTCCTCAGTATATCACAGTTGTTTCTTTTCTTTGCCGTTAGCCTACTCCTGGTTCTCTTCCTCATATTGCTTGCACTTCTGTACAGAGTTACTTGTAATCATAATTTCTGTTGTTATTTAAATGAGCACGATATGAATAAATTGTTACGTTTTTTAGCCATTACGTGCTCTGCTCTGCCAGAACCCTCCAATGGCTCTCGGCTGGGTTGTGCAGGGACAACAATTGAATACTTCAATACAGTCTGTTCCTTTTTTTGCCATCCCGGTTACGACTCAATCGGCTCTGCTTCAAGAAAATGTCTTGAAAACGGGACCTGGAGTGGCCAGAACTTCTTTTGCCAAGGTGCAAATATTTTATTCACTATTCAAATTTCTACCTACGACTATGAAAATCATTATAAGCATTTTCCATGTTTTGAAAAATGAACTATTTTGAATTAATTTAAGTTTTATTATTGCTGACCTCTAATTTTTTTAACTTTCGTCCTTTTTGAACAGTCATAACATGTCCAAATTTGATCGTCCCACCGAAAGGGATACTGCTGAACTCTCCTTGCGGCAACACGTATGGTTCAATTTGTGTATTTGGCTGTGAAAGTGGCTATGGAAGCCCTGGCGGAAATATCACAAGGACATGCCTAGGGAGCAGTATGTGGAGTGGAGATAACATCAACTGTACGGGTAACGACACATAGCAAGTTAAGGGTCCTCTTATGAGAAACGACTGACACACAAATAAAGAAGCAAAAATAAAGTCAACGAACGAAACGTCTACATCATAAGTGTGTAAATCCTTCAGCAAAGGGTTTCCAAGCGTCCACAATAAGCAGTAACCATACAGCGGGCTAACATGTCCTTACCTCCATTATGTCTCCTTTTCAATTCCTTCTCTTTCTCTCTTTTGATTATTTCTTTGTTTGTTTTTTTTAAACGTTTTATATAATGTGCCAGATATTCTTCCTCCAACATTTGATGTCCCGTGCCCAGCAAGTCCTTTGATATCATATGCAGAGCGAGGAAAGTTCTCCGCTAAGGTGAATTGGACATTACCAACTGCCATTGACAACTCAGGACTCAAACCAGTTATAAACTCTAATTACCATCCACCAAGGATATTTCGCCAAGGAACTTACATAATTACATATTCTGCAGTAGACCAAGCAGGAAACAAAGCCACTTGCAGCTTCACGATAAAAGTAATAGGTAAAGCTTAATTTAGGCAAATCATTTCACTTGGTGTCGTCAACGTATTAAATGTGGACTTCAGAACTAACGGAGCAGGAATTGTTTTCAGGAGGGACTACTTTTCATTTTGTAATCCATCATTTTTGTTGCTATTGTTTTTCAGTCATCAATTGCACATTGCTGGTGGCAGACCCAGGCAGTCCCTTGCGCATGAGTAGTTGTGGTAATCATTATGGAGCGCGTTGTGAATTTTCTTGTGCCAGTGGTTTTCGTTTGAATGGTTCGTCAGATGTTATATGTGTCACCCCGAATGACAGACCTCCCGCCGTCTGGGACAACCCGATACCTACCTGTCAAAGTAGGTGGCCTCTGACAAGATATTTCAGTTATTACACATCGATTATGCAGTATGATGTTCCGTAAGGAACATCACCTGCTCTCACATCTAAAAATTTTTCTCATTGCTAGTCAGAAGGTGGCTTATCCGAGAAGTTGTTCGAGAAAAAAGTTATGTATTAGGAAATACTCGCAACTAATTTAAAATATCATGTTTTTATATCAACAAGGCATTACATGTCCTTCTCTTCCTATACCCACAAACGGAGGTAAGAGGGGCTGCGAGGACACAGTGTCCGAACTTTATGACACACTCTGCAGTTTTTACTGTAACGATGGCTACAGTCTGGTGGGATCGTCTGTCAGGCGTTGTCTAGAGAATGGGACATGGAGTGGAGAAACGTCTTTATGTCTGAGTAAGAAACAAAATAATTTCTTTACTGTGAAATTTTACGCATTTATTAACAACACAGTGGTTTGCGGTAACGTTTTGTCTCACTTTTTGCTTGCATAGTTATCAGGTGTAGTCCTCTTGTTCCTCCAACCGATATTTCAATTTCTCCATCGTCTTGCTCATCAATAAGTAACTATGGCCAGATCTGCCGCTTAACTTGCTCTCGACCGGGATACTCTCCAAATGGGACCTTATCGAGAACTTGTGGTAGCGATGGACAATGGACAGGCTTAAACGACACACGTTGCACGGGTAAGTTGCTGAGTCCCCTAGGTAAAGCATATTCGATTTTTTTCTTATTCATTAGATAGTTTATCTTTCATGCACTGCTTAAGCAACAAGTTTGGATAAAAATTAAGGGTTTCACTCACTTCATTTAATATCTCTGAAAAACATTCGTTCTAAAGAATGGACTTTTCATATCTCCCATCGAGCACATTTTGCCGAGTCACTATGTTTACATATTTGAATGCAAAACTTGACTACATTAGATATTTTCACTTAAAAATAGCTGCAAAGATATTATCTCATCTTTCTACTTTTCCCTATCGAAAAACATGGACGATTTATGCATATTTAAAGAAGCTAAAGAGCTAAGCTATTTAAAGAGTTTTGGGTAAACTAGAAAAAACCTCTGGGTGGCGCACGACATCTCTTATGTTCCTTTCTCCCCCTCCCCTTCTCCTTCTCCCCTCGCATTCATGTTGGTACCAGGGTACACCAGTCTGAACCGATATAATCCCCCAATTTGCGACGTTTCATTCCAAACTGATTATCTTTTTTTCAATATATCTACAGCACACACACACACACACATAAATGTTTTACAAGTATTCCACGAGCACGCGTTATGAGATTATAGATAGCTTTAATCATCTCATATCCAACAAGCGCGAGTGGAATAATTGTTTTATCAAAAGCGCCCCCAATATATTAGGAAAATCTTACCAAATCTTAATTTTTTTAGCTCACTTGTAATCTTAACCTGACGCGTACGGTTACCTCAGTTGTAGGTTATGGTATATTGGATAATATACCATAATGGCTAAGCCAATAAAAAGTCTTGAACAGCGTACGTTATCCAATGATCTACGTTTTAATCCATATGTTAAAAAAACTACCGTTTAAAGGGATTTGGGTAAATTAGAAAAAATCTTTGGGTCGCGCACGACATCTCTAATGTTCATTCCTCCTTTTCGTCCCTCCCACTCATCTTGGTACCAGGGTTCACCAGTAATGATGACAAAGGTTGATTATCACAACTGACGAAGGTCTCGGACCAAAACGTTTTTTATTAATCTGTTTAGATTTTTTAATTGACGAGATGTCTTTCTTCGCTCGAAGTTGTCCGTCCTCTTGTGCAACATTACTTCTTATATATATATATATATATATTTAGGACGGGTTTCATATGGGGTTCTAGGCTTCCCCTACCCGGTCATCTTGAAAAGTTTATATAGATATATATATTTAGGACGGGTTTCATATGGGGTTCTAGGCTTCCCCTACCCGGTCATCTTGAAAAGTTTATATAGATATATATATTTAGGACGGGTTTCATATGGGGTTCTAGGCTTCCCCTACCCGGTCATCTTGAAAAGTTTAATTTCCTGGGAGACCACGTCTCCGATCACGTAAATCACATCTTTGATTGCCGTGTTGCCAGCATGGTTGTCCTGATAGTGTAGTGGTCATGACACCTGACTAGTAACAGGGGGACATGGGTTCAAATCCCGCTCAGGGCAAATTTTCTTTTCAAACATTTATACTATTTAAGTATGATTACTTGGGGTGTACATGGTCAGGGTTTCCCTTGCATACAAAATTTATATATAGATAGATAGATATATATATATATATATAAATATTATGAGAGGAAAAAAGGACGTAACTACATTTCCCGACAAGCCTGTTTCGTGAATCGCTTCACTCTTCAGGGGTTTAATGAAAGAATATACATGTGACTATCGTTTATATACTAGGAAAATTTGCATAATGCGCGGTAAACTTAAAAACTTTAAAGTTCAGTTGTTGCGTAGCAACGCTTTGTTTCTGTGTCGGCATGAAGATACGAGTTCGTTACGCTTATTTAGTGATGAGAGGTCGGGTCGGTAAATTATCAGGAATTTTTCTTTTAGGCAGAGGTTGCATCTTTTATTGGAGCTGTTGTAGGGAGAGTTAGATGATAAGATGCGCCATGAGATAGAATAGTCAATGTTGTCGTTCTTGAGTGTCCAGATGTGTTTGCTAAGTTCGGTAGAGTTTTTGTGCTTGGCGTGGCGGAATGATGCGGTGTGATTTCTGTGTCTTGTTTTGAAGTCGGTTTCTGTGAGTCCGATGTATGTTTCAGAGGTGTTGTTGTCGTTCCGTGTGACGGTGGCTTGATAAACGACTGAGGATTGAAGGCAGTTACCATTGAGCGGGCAATTGTTCTTTTGTCGGCAGTTGCATGTTTTGTTGGTTTCCGTGCCGTCTTTGTTGTCTTTCGTGTAAGGTGAGTGGGACGAGTGTAAGATGCGCTTGTTGTGGTTGTCGATGACCTGTTTGGTGTTGTTCATACAGCTGTAACTGATTTTGATGGTGTTGCGGTTAAATATTTTGCGGAGGCTGTG